AGTGGAGGAGAAGTAGATCTTGTCCCTGTACTGGTAGGCCACCATGTTCTGTTCCGCATGGTTCCGGGCTGGCCGCACAAACATCATCCAGTTACAAACATCTTCATTGGGTGTGTCCAGGTAGTACTCCTTCCCATTCTTAAAAACCTGCAATTGGTAATGGAACAAACAAGATTTTTAGTAGTTTTACTGAGAACTGAGCAACATAAAGTACCCTGTCATCTCACTAGTAACGGTGTTTATGGCATTTATTATATATTAAGCCCTTCATTTACTAGTTTAAGCCTGTCACACATTTACACATTTGGTTTCCCAAACACACATTTGCTTTACCGAAATTCTGTAACAGTTTAGTTAGTAAAAAATTTCCTTGGCTATTTTATATAATAATTTTTACACTGTAACTTCTGTGAACCTCTCAAAATTCATAATTCTCCCTACAGTAAACTGAAATATTCTTTATCCAGGTCAGGTAATTGAAATTTCATTTTGAATGCCCATAAAAAATTGTATTTGCATGAGGGGACCCACCAGCATGAAGGCAATGCATGCTAACTGTCCACTTATACATTTCCACAATTTAACAAAAATTTTTTTTTTAATATTGACACTCAATGATGATACGCAAATTCTAATGTCTTGAACATAGAAAAATGACCAGGAAACATATTATTTCAGTAAGCCAGCAAACTTAAATGTTTAATGTGTCTCATGTCTTCTGTGGAAATTTACGGATGATAGCAAGCTTTGTGACTAGATCCATAAGGGATCTGAACCAAAGCTCCACAAAGCTCCGCACATGCATCACTTAGAAAGGTCAGGGACACCGGGGAATTCACTCGTGTTGATTTACATTCGCCTCAAGCGGCAAAAATACCAGTGTGGCCGTCACTTCCTTTCAGGATCACATAACAACTCACCCCACCATCACTCAGCATGAATTGGACTTGAACTCGAAACGTGTGATTGTCTCTACCGAACATAAATTGTCTTGTGTTATAACCAAAGTCCTTTTAAATCACGGAGGTATAGACGTTGTGGTGTGGCCTCAACTTTGTTTGACATAACATCATGTCAATCGCTGATGCGCAACACTCAGGGGGGGTGGCCATGCTCCCCTGGGAAAATTGTGAAGTCTTGATCATCAGAAATTTAAACGCATTACATTTTCTTGCATTTTGAGGGGCAAATTTTGCTGGTAAACTTTGCTTAATTTAATAACATCTCTTTCTGTATCTTTTCAAGACGGATGCTGGCTAAAACACTGTACAACTACAATGCATATGCTATGGTCCTCTGATACACAGGTAAGCATGATTACAAATTGTATGAGTTTGATGAACGAAGCTCTACTTACCTGTAGCAGAAATTTGTTTTCATCTCTGTTGGTGAGGTTTGCTATGCTAGTGACCAGGGTGGCCTCAAACGGACCAAACTGAGTTCTTTTCTGAATCACTTTTTTGGCAAACACACCCAGAACTGAAAAAGAGAAGAAAGATTAAGAACATTCTAATACTATCAATGTAAACTGTATCATTAGGGCAAAAGGGACAGCAAAACTGGATTTTCATCATGTAGTCAAGTCAATTTTCTGGTTATTCCTTTAATAGGGTAGTTACATTTGTAGGTAGGGTTGGTTAGCACGTCGGCAGAACGTACTGCATCTCCGCGAAACCCGTATGTATTTTTGCGTATATATATATAATGTTAAAATCCTGTCTGTAGTTTCCAAATGTTGTGTCGGAAAAGATGTCGTCTGCAACAGGAAGAATTCTGCAAATGAGCATGTAATTAGTGTGAAATTATTTATGTACACTACCTGTACTGAGGGATTAGGTGTTTTGGACCTGTACTTTAGAAATCAATTTTTCTGATACAAAACCAATACTGAGTACCGTTACACAGCTCAATTGGTGGGTATTTGAAATAAGTAAATCACCCGAATGGAGGCTTGGCGAACCCCGTCTTGTATTAAGCTAACGAAAGGGTATGCCACCTCGTATGGGGCGGTATAACCCCGACCAAGACGGTCGACCGATGATGATGATGAAATACGTACGTTGTTTGTTTCCGGGTCGAATCTCCAGTTCCCGCAACTGAAGGTAGTGAGGTAGAGTGAGGCGAGCCCGGGACGGGATGACCTTGTCTTTGACCTTGAGTAGGGTGCCATGGAGCTGACACTCTCCTGGAAGACTCTTCCCACATTCCTCACACCCTGGGGAGAGGAGGGGAGGGCCACACAGAACATGTTACAACAGGGCTCAACATTCACTTTTGGGAATAGGTGCACTGGTGCACCTGACCTAAAAACTGGGTGCACTAAAATGTTTGAGTGCATCATAATATATATATATATATAACAAATATTTATAAGATAAAATGTCAGACAAAAACAAAATACCTGTATGTTTCATTGCTGATGAAAAGTACTGCAACAATAACTTCATCATTTTTCTGATACTTACAAAATGTAGATGTTAAGATTATGCTATACACATTACTAACATGGTGACCTTAACATTATATAAACCTACAAAAATATTTGGGCGCACTGGTGCATCCACAGAACAAAATTGGATTCACAGCTCTAAATTTGGGTGCGCTAAGGTGCACATGCACCCAGTATTTCGAGCCCTGATGTTGCACTACAGAACAGATGCAGGCTAGGGCTTGAAATATTTTTTCTGCATGTGCATTGAAAGCATTGGCCACATTGAAAATTATCTACACCAGGCAATTTTACCTGCACCACACACTTCAGGAAGTACATGTATGGACCACACTAAAAGCTGATCAGAAACCATTGACATTATTTAATTTACACATGTACCTTCTTAAGTGGTAATAGTCAATGCAGAAAATGAAAAAATCCACATACACCTACAACATGGTAGGGTTTTTAGGGCTATTTCAAATGCTTCAAGTATGAAATGACAACCAGAGTGTGCTAACAAATCAATGGCACTATATGCCAACACCAGAAAGATTTCCTCATCCAGAACATTTTTGTTTTGCTGCCCAATGAAAGACAAGAATTGTCAAGGGTGAGAGATACAACTTCTCCTTAGGCCACACCAATTTAATTTGTTGGTTCTCGGATTTTTTCAGAAAAAAATATGAAGCGACAGGGCGAAAAAAATAAAAATAAAAACAAGTCTAGGCATCCTATTATAGGCTTAAATGCTACAAAATGAGCCATGAAGTCAACACAAAAGGCTGGATTAAAATTTAAACATTGAATTTTGAACTTTTAATCAAACCACTGCAACGATAGATGGGAAAACTGTAACAACTAGGAAGAAAAGGACTTTCCTCAACTGTTGGGGGGGCAAAACATAAGCATTTTTCAGTTGATTCGGGACCAGAATCAATTTTT